CCAGTCACGAGTATCAGCCAAAAAAGTAGATTTGACTCGTTGAGCGAAGCGGCCAAGTTAGAGCTAGAGGAATTCCGGCGCGGGGTGGAGCTGGTTGGCCCACCCGGCCCGGGCGGGCAATGTGACGACCTGGCGTCCGGTATTACTCGCACCTGTAATGGATTATGCCGCGTCTGCCAGTGAAATTCTCAGGTCCGTAGCTGCAGTACCACGATTGAAACGCTCGGGAGAACCGACGTCGTATGAAACCCCAAAAATACATGTTGCGAGTTTTCAAGCTGACTTTCGAGAACGCTCCCTCCTCGTCATCTGGGCGCTGATTTGCGCGTTGAGAGCTCTGCGAGGGTCCCGGCGTAACCTGGTTGACCGTTTAGCCGGCTCGCAGTTATTCTGGCAGGCTGGGGGGCTAGTTGGCAAAGAAATCTCGACGGAAGTTTTGCATGTGTTTGCTCGGTTTACATTCGATTTCTCGGAATTTGGAAGGTCGTCAGAGCTTTGGTACTTTTCCCCATATTCGATCATGTTCCCGCTCTCCATCTCAATCTCAGTTCGATCGGGTACATACTATTGCCAAAGAGCATGTGGGCGGGATCGGCTGTTTAGTGTCATCTTGACATGTGCTGTCGGTTTTCTGTGCTTAACTCGAGCTGTAGGATAGTGCTGGGAGGCGCACCGAATCTATTTAGAATCATCTGGCGCGCTAGTCTCAAGTATCCAGATGTCCGAACTCGGTCTGCTACCAGAGCTGGGTCCGAACAACTATTCGTGCAATGCTAATTTTTTGGAGATGATGAGGAGTTTGTTGATGTAACTCGAGCTGCCGATGAGCCACAGAGCTGTTCGGCACAGCAAACCGAAGGATAATCATCAGAAGCGCTAGTCTCAGGTATCTAGATGCCCGAACTCGGTCTGCTACCAGAGCTGTGTCCGAGAAACTCTTCGTACTCTCCTAATTTGTTAGGGATGATGATGCGTTTCTTGATGTAACTCAAATTTCAGATGAGCTACAGAGCTGTTCGACACAGCAATCGGAAGGAAATCATCGTAACCGCTAGTCTAAAGTATCTGGATGCCCGAACTCGGTCTGCAACCAGAGCTGGGTCCGAAAAACTATTCGTTCTCTGCGAACTCTTGTGCATATTATCATGACTTTCTTGCGATAGCTCGAGCTGCAGATGAGCTACAGAGCTGTTTGGCACAGCAATCGGATGGCAATCATTAGAAGCGGTAGTCTCAAGTATCTAGATGCCCGAACTCGGTCTGCTTCCAGAGTTGGAACCAACACAACTACTCGTACTCTGATGTAGCTCGAGCTGCACATGAGGTTAGAGCTGTTCGGCACAGCAATTGTTCGAATATCATCAGGAGCGCTCGTTGCAAGTATCTACATGTTTGAATTCGGTCTGCTACCAGAGCTGGAACCAAACAACTATTCGTGCTCCTGCTCCTCGTCCTCTTCCTTCTCGTTCTCCTCCTCCTCCTCCTGTTCCCTCTTCATCCTCTCCTTCTCCTCTGGCTCCTCCTGCTCCTTCTCTTCCTCCTTCTCTTCATCTTCCTCCTCTCCATCATCACCATCGTCCCTCTTCTCACTCTCCACCCTTCGCCCTCCTGCTCGTCGCTCCTCTTCCTCTTTCCCCTCCGTCTCCTCTGCCTGATTCTTTTTCTCCTCTTCCTTCTCCTCAGCCTCCTCCATCTCTTTCTTCTCCTCACTCCCTCTTCTCCTCCACGTTGTCCTCCATGAAACCAAGCCCTCGCGCGCGCGGAGTGCGATATTGCCGGCTTGCATTCCATTCGTGTATATCGAGGAAGCTCTACGAGTTCCCGGCGGGTTCCCGGCGGTAACCGATGCCGATGCCTCAGTGGCTCGGCAGTGTGATGATAAGAGATGCCTTCTCTAGGTACCCTGTGCTCCGTTTGGGAGTCTTAGGGCTCAGCTGTCACAGCTGTCCGCGCCCTGACTCAAACTCAAAAACCGAGGTTGACGGTTCGCCGCCGGCCCCCGTTTTTTTGACGAAGTTACTTCCGCCAAGTACCTCGTAGAGCTCTTCGACGAGATGAGCTAAGAGGAATTCGTGCGCGGGGGGGAGCTAGTTGGCCGACCTGGCCAGGCCGGGCAGTGTGTCAACCTGGGGTCAGTTTTTCGAAGAGTTTGAGAGATTTGAAAATTTGTTTTGAGAATCGAGATTTTTTTTGTTCCCTGCAGTCGATCATGGCGCGTTCGATGGTGCAGTTCTCAGGGCTCTAGGTGCAGTATTTCGATCAAAACTCTTGCCGGAACCGTTAGTCGTCGCGGCGTATTTGACTCGTAGAGCTTCCCTAAGAGCGGAGCGGCGACGCTAGAGAGTAATTCTGGCGCGCTGGGGGGCTAGTTGGCAAGAAAATCTCGACGGAAGTTTTGCATAATTTTGTTCGGTTTAATATCGATTTCTTGAAATCTGGACACTCGTAAGAGCTTGAACAGTTCCCCCCCCCATATTCGATCTTATTCCCGCTCGCCATCTTGATCTCAGGTCGATCGGGTACATGTTACTGTCAAAAAGCATGAAGGCGGGATCGGCTGTTTTGTGTCATCTTGGCAGATGCTGTCGGTTTTCGGAACTTCACACGAGCTGTAGAAAAGCTGCAGAGCTGAGAGGCACGCTAAATCCATCTAGAATCATCAGGCGCACTAATCTCAAGTATCTAGATGCCCGAACTCGGTCTGCTAGCAGCGCTGGGTCCAAACAACTATTTGTATTCATTTTTTCCAGGGATTATGATGGTTCTCTTGACTTAACTCGAGCTGCAGATATGCAACAGAGCTGTTCGGCACAGTAATCGGAAGGGAACATAAGCGCTAGTCTTAAGTTTCTAGATGCCCGAACTCGCTCTGCTACGTGAGCTGGGTTCGAAAAACTGTTCGTGCTCTGCTATTTTTTCAGACATGATTGTTTTCGTCACTTAACTCGAGCTGCAGATGAGCTACAGAGCTGTTCAGTATAGGATCCGAAGGGAAATCATTTGGCGCGCTAGTGGTAAGTATTTAAATGTCCGAACTCGCTCTGCTACCAGAGCTGGGTCTGATAAACTATTCGTGCTCTGCCAATCTTTTGAAAAGATGATGGCGTCTTTCTTGATGTAGCTGGAGCTGCAGATGAGCTAAAGAGCTGTTTGGCACAGCAATCAGAGGAACATGATCCGAAGCGCTATCTCTGAGTATCTAGACGTCTGAGATCGGTCTGCTACCAGAGCTGGAGCCAAAGAACTATCAGTACTCGGCATTTTTTTTTGAGATGATGATATTTTCGTTGCTCTACTCGAGCTGGCTGGCTAAGAAGCCAAGAAGCACTTCTCGAAACGTCTCTTCCTTCGCCGCTTCCCTTCCTCCTTCGCCTCCTTCTTCTCTTTCTTCCTCCTCCTCCCCTACTCTCTTTCTCCTCCTCCTGCTCCTTCTCGTCTTCCTCCTTTCCCTTTCTCCCTCCTTCATTTGCTCCTTCTCCATTTTCTTTTCCTCCTCCTGGACCTCCTTCTCCTCGTTCTCCTCCCCTTCATCATCATCATCATCATCGTCCCTCTTCTCCCCCTCCACCCTTCCCCCGCCTTGTCGACGTCCTCCTCTTGCTCCTTCTGCTCCTCCTCCTTCTCTTCCTCGGCCTCCTTCATCTCTTTCACCCCCTCGCTCCTTCTTCACCCCTACTTCTTCCTCCATGAAACTGCGCCCTCGCGCGAGTGGAATGCGAGATTGCCGCGCCCGCGCCCCGCTCGTGTATATCGCGAGGAAGCTCTGCGAGTTCCCGGCGGTAGCCAAGGTTGTGGAGCACATTTTTTGTAGCCTCTTTCACCCGAGCAGCTGAATCATTTCATCATTGCTCGGTTTTGCCTTTTCACTCTAATAATCTTGCATCCTTTTCCTATGCCTGCGCCTCCGTGGCTCGGCAGTGTGAAGATAAGAGATGCTTTTCTTTCTCTGTGCATCCTATTCCGATGCCTAAGCCTCCGCGGCTCGGCAGTGTGAAGATAAGAGATGCTTGCACTTGCTACCCTGTGCTCCGTTTGGGAGTCTTAGGGTTCAGCTGGCACAGCTGTCCGCGCCCTGACTCAAACTCAAAAAACCAAGGCTGCCGTCGGGGACTCCTCGAGCCGCATCGCGCGGTCAGGTGCTTACACACTCGTGTATCGTACTGTATCCGCGGGGCGCGCGGGGGCCATCTGTCGCTCAGCTGCGACAAGTGCTCCATCGGCGTGCTCATCGAGGTCAGCAGGTGCTCTCTCTTTGTTGTGGTTGCAGTATCGTTGGATCGAGCCCGACTTACAGTTTTCTGCTCCATTGCACGTGTGCTTGCGACTTGCTCACCGCGACGAGTGTTGAGGAGTTCAACTTTCTTGCCAATCTTACACGGTACACCAGGCGTCGACGTCCACAGATGACGGCTGTGTTGGGTACTCCGACTGGTGCACAGGATATGCCGATGGGAGGTGAGGACGGAGAGGAGGAGCGAGATGAGTTCGAGAGAGCGCTGGCTGCCCCTGCACCTGGGAATGTCAGACTCACAGTTAGTCAGTTGGAGGGTTGTGCTGAGGTTGCCGAACATGTTGCTTCAGAGGATGCTAAGAGGGCTCGAAAGGTTCCTGGGGCCCGAGGGTATCCCATGGCTTCCATTGCGGCCCTCCTGGACTCCAAGTTCCCAGAACAGCAGCACTTCTTCGACAGTTCTCGTAAGGATCGTCTCAAACCATTGGAGGAGGCAGCGAAGCAGAATCAGACGGATATTGTTGACATCAGGAAGTCTCAAGCAGAACAACAACGTCATATTGAAGAGCTCCAGCATGCCATCCAGAATCGTGCAGGCCCCAACAGCTCCACAGGTGCCCCGAGTACCGTTGGTGCCCCACGTGTGTCCTACCAGATTTCACGGCCGCAAGACTTCGGACGTGTCCCTCGTCCGCCGTTCACTCCGACTTATATTGCTATTCAGGGTTGGGCGAAAGGTGCCAATCGTGATATCTCACAGCGTTCCGAGGTGTTGTTCAATGAGGCGGCGGCTCAGCGCTGCCTGGCGTACTTGTTTGAGAAGGCAGGCTGTCTCCAACATGTCGACGAGGTTCGGACCAACAGCGAACATACTAACAAGCCGTGCGGACTGTATCGGATCAGGGTGCACGTCAAATCCACTGTGAGTCGGGATGTGACGTGGGAGTGTAGGAAGGTTTGGATGCAGTGTTTCCAGAACGGTCGCATCTTTGCACAGGACCAGGATGTCAGGGTGTACAAACGTATTGTGCAGTGCCGTGTGTCTATCCCTGTGGAATGCTCCCCATGGAAGCAGCCTCATGTAGCTGCAGCGGGGAGGTTCAATGCGTGCTTCTACAAGCACAGCATCTTGGTGGACGGATGTGTGCGTATCGAGTCGTATGGCCCTCCGACGACGTTCGTCTGGGCGTATCCTAGCCTCCAGTACACGGACGGAGCTTGTGTTGCATCGTTCAGGACCGACCGTACGGATCAGTGGTTGTTGGATGAGACGGCACTCCTTCGGATCGATTCGACATTCAAGCTGGCGGAGTTCAAGGCAGCCTTGCACTCCACCGAGTAGCGGGGCCCCGACGCCTGGCTCGACACCCAGGCGGTATCTATCGCAACATGGAACTGTCGGAAGTTGGGGAAGCTCCTCTGCCAGGAAGTTGTGCGTGACAATTTTCAGAATTCAACATTGGGCGTTGGGGTTGCATTACTCCAGGAGGCTCAGCATTTGACGGATCTTGGGGCGTCATGGCATACCGAGCATTCTGTGTGTAGGCGTGCATGCGTACTGTACAATACTAGGTGGTGCAGTCATCGTATCTCTTCGGATCGAGGCGACCGACGGTGTGCTGTGATATTTCGCAGTATGATTGCCATCAGCGTTTACTTGCCTCACAACTATGTGTTTGGAAAGAGCCGTGATGCTTTCTTCCAGGCCCTCTGCGAGTATCACCGTGTCCTGAGGGAGGCTGCGTTGACTATCCAACGATTGAAGTCGCAGGTTGGTATCAGGGACGTCGTCTTGGGGGTGGACGGGCAGGTGGAGGTGGAGGGTGGGGTCTTCCATGAGCAGTGGCCTGTGACTGGCCCTTTTGTGGATGGTACTTCCCTTGCTCCCCGCGGGACCTCTGGAGGTTTCGAAAAGGACGCCCACGAGTTCTCCCAGGCCTACTCCGAGGCCCTTGCTACCACTATCGGAGTCTTGGGACTGTTGATAGCGAATACCCTCGACGGCCCTCGCAGGCCCACGTAGCGGTCAACAAAATATATTCCTGAGGCGCAACAGTATCAACAGGTGTATGACTATCTGTGGGTACCGAGACACTGGTTCGTCAACCTACCCTCTACTTCGGTCACTTGGGCGGTGCCCCGAGAGGCCATGGCTGAGGACACTTTGCAGCTAGAAACATGGTGGAGCGACCGTGCGATTGTGTCGCTCGTACTTCCGCAGACTGCCAGGCCAGCAAGGACTGCCAGGCAGCGCCCTCGCAACAACGCCCACTGGCGGTGTGCCGAGGACCCTGCAACAGCTGCGCAGTAGTATCGACCGTACTCTGTGTGACAGACCGACAGAAATGAGACCGGCTGAGATCGGCGCCCATATCCTCCAGGAGGCCTCCGAGTTCGGGCACGCCCCTACCTACCAGGACGCTCTCACACGGGTCAGTAAGGATTACATCCAGGCACGTCTTCGGTGGACTGAAGTTCGTAGGAGGTGGAAGGCGGGGGAATGTTCGGAGGAGGAGATGAAGGCTGCCCGTCGTGAGAAGCAACGTGAGCGTCGAGTCCACAGGCGACGCCTCACGGAATACTCGTTTCGACCAGGTGCACAGTGCCGTGCACATCTCTATACACTGCATGTGGATGGGGAGGATACGTGTGACGTTCTGAAGTGGGAGGAGGCTTTACGTGTACACGGTTTCACTCATTACAGTTGTGAGGAGGGGAGGAGTGTTATTCAAGGAATGCTGGAGGGAAGGAGGAGGCGGTTACAGGATGCATCGGGTGGCCCTCACGGCTGCCTCGGACGGGATGCTATCTCAATGGGGATCCTCATGAGAGGCCGTGCGAAGCTCAAAGTGGGACGTGCGGTGGGGAAGGATGGGATCAGTGCCAGTATGCTCCGATGCGTGCCCTGGTCCGCTCTCTGCTCCATCTTGAAGGCCTTTTCGAAAGCTGTTTAGCCGCGAGTTCGATATCCCCTCGGTGTGGCGTTTCATTTGCATCGCGCTGATGCCCAAGCACCAGCGCGCCACCGACTTTACAGAAATGCGTGCTCTCAGTCTTCTTAGTGTGATATCAAAGTGGTACCATTCGTGTTTGATTATCCTCGCTGCGTCCCATCTGCGATCGACTACACCTGGGTGATGCTCTACGGATTTGCGGGTGAGCGCAGGGTGCACGAGGTCACAGCGGTTGTGAAGAGGTGAGCTCAACATGGTGTGGAGTGGGGTAAGTCTCACTCTTGCTGTTTCGCGTCCCTGGATGTATTGCGTGCTTTCGACCACCTGACGGTGAACGACCTCTCGGAGTCCATGGATCCGTTATCGTTCCCCCCCGACTTGGCCTATGCTATATTTAGAGCCACAGAGTCACTGCGTTGCAGATTTCAAATTTCAGGACGTCGAGGTCATGGGTGTACTTTGGGACCGATGTGTGAAGACAGGCTCAGTTGAAGCCCCCATGGGCTGGATATGCGAGACGATTGTGATGTGGATCGACTTGTGCCACAACTGGCGTCGTGCTGGCAGTGACATTCCCCTCGCGGATCAAGCAGGCGCTCTGGTTTTCTCCCGCGCCATGTGGGCGGACAATGTTATCCTGGGTGCCTCCTCCACTGACCAGCTCATAATGATGGTGCGTGAGATGTCGGTACTGTTGTACTCCCGAGGGTACTCGTGGAAGCCCAGCTCTCTCCAGTATATGCTCTGCGGGTTTCAGTGTTCCCCTGAGGTGCCCATCGTGGTGAGTTTCACGGTGGCTGGCCCCCCATCTGATCAAAGCCGGAAATCAACGCCACCATCTGCAGATCAAAGCCGGAAATCAGCGCCACCATCTGCCTTGGGTGTGAAGAGGCGCCGTACTTCTCAGTCGCCAACGGTCACTATCCAGTTGCCTCGGGTCCAGTGTATGTCCATCTTGGGTGTGATGATTGATTCTTCGATGCATACGCATGCCGACGTTCTCCATCGTATCAGTTGCGGTGAGCGGGCCTTTTAGCATGAGCAGCGGTAGAACTGTTGTCGGGACATCCCGCTTATTCGCCGACTCAGGCGCTACGGCGGTAAAGGGCGTGCCAATATCCTTTTTGGAGCAGAGGGTATGACGTCAGATCAGAGTACTTTAACTGCGCTGCACAAATGTGAGGGTAAGCTCTTAGCTAAGATGATGTGGAGGAGAAAGGGGGCGGGTGAGGATTGGAGTGCTTTCATGCAGCGTGTATACCTTCATGCGAGACGTGCCCTGCACTCGGCTGGTCTGCCGAGCTTGCCACAACTATTTCTTTATCGACAGTGGTGCTGGGCCAAAGATGTTTGTGCCACCGCCCAGCGGACGTCGCTGTCGCTGCCGTTGCCCGACCCTGTGCTGTTTCAAGGATCACAACTTGTGCCGCCTCCAATCTCAGTTACAGCGGATTCCCAGGTATTCAACTATGGGTCCCAGGCGACCCCTGTCACGCTTAACCGACGCCAGATGATACGTGAGATGCGTGAAAGAGCCCAGAAACGACGACGAGTCGACCCCCCAGTGGCCTCGCTACAGCCTCCACAGCGCCTCTTCCCCTGGACGGCGACGGGTGCGGTGTGATCTGGGGCCCGAGACGTACCATCCTCACTCCCTCTCTCGCTTGTGCATGCTGCATGCTGTGTCGCCTTGGACCGAGGAGAGGGGTCCCATCATTCGCACTCTCAATTCGAAGGAAGCCCGAGAGCTCGCCAGACACCGTGAGGGCGGACGCCCTGCGGGCTACCATCCATGGTCGCTTCCGTTCGAGACGGTTGGAGGAGTCTATTGGTACGCTAACTTGACTTAGGATGAGGACGGGTGGAGATATTTTGTTCATGCGCTGCTGGGTATGTGGGACCTGCCGCATGTGCTCCAATATTATGTCCTCAGAGATCCCAAGGGGCCCTACAGGTGGAGGCGGAGGACCTTGCGGTGGAGGAGAGGCGTAGGAAGGAGGAGGCGGGGAAGGAAAAGGTTACAAAACGAATCGCACTGAATGAACAACGACGGTCTTGGTGGGACTTTGGGTCGAAAGGTCTACCTCTAGAGATCTCGGGGGGCTCTCTTGTAATTTGTAACTGGATTAATGGTTTGTTTTGATGTACTACTGATGTGTACTCGACGACTGTTTGTGCTATTCAGGATTTGCCTTATTCTATGTCTGTGGAGATGCCCATGCACGTTCGGGCCCCCTCACGGGGATGTGATATTGCCAAATGGATTTATCGGGAAGGGAACGCGAGAGCTGATGAACAGACCTGGATGGATCGGTGGGGCCAGGGCCACTTGACAATCGATGACAGGCTATCTGCAATGCATGCTTCGAGCGTGCTCGGTGTGAGAGGCTTCTTTGACGGATGCCGATCCTCTGAGGGTTGTGGCGGTGGTTGGGTCCTCGATCTGTACATTCTCCCATCGCTTCCCTTTCATCTTAATCATCTGGATGGCTCCGCCTCTCCGAGTGGCTTCTGGTGGTGCGGTGTCGCCTCAGAAGCCTTTAGTCTCCCGCCCTCGTGTGCAGTGACTCAGGCTGAACTTCTTGCTGCAAAGCACCTACTGCAAGGTGTGGTGGCGGTCCTGCAGGCGCTTGGCCTGTTGCGCCCCTTCTGCGCTAGGCTGTGACTCGAGCGGGCCTGAACTCGGGCCTGTGGCTCTGCGCAAAGCAAAAAAAACAAGGTTGACGGCTCGCCGCCGGCCCCCAGTTTCGAGCTGATGCCGGTTTTCTAAATGTAACTCAAGTCAGAAGCAAGCTGCATAGCTCTGGCTTCATCTGCAGCAGTATGCCTCGTAGAGCTCTTCGACGAGATGAGCTCAGGGAAATCCGGGCGCGGGGAGGTGCTAGTTGGCCGACCCGGCCAGAACGGACAATGTGGTGACCTGGGGTTTGTTTTTTTGAAGATTGTGAGAGATTTGAAAATTCGTTTTGAGAGTCCAGTTTTTTGTTTCCTGCAGTCGATCATGGCGCGTTTCATGGTGCAATTCTCAGGGCTCCAGGTGCAGTATTTCGATGAGAACCCTTGCGGGAACCGACATTGTATAACATTTTTTAAAAATACATCTTACGAGTTTTCTAGCATAAATTTGGAAAGGCTATTTTCTCGTTATCTGGGTGCTCATTTGAGTGTTCAGAGCTTTACGAGGGTCCCGGCGGTAAGCTGGTTGACAACTGTGCCTCAAGTGGATTGTCAATGTTCTTTCGATTGTTTTTGCCCAGCTATATTCCGACAGCTACGCTGCACACTATCAGTGAGGATCATACGCGCATTCATTCTTTGTTGCCTGTGTCTCAAGTGGATTGCCAACGTTCTGCAGATAAGTTGT